CGATGTAGAAAATTTGACTAGAACAATTTCAAACACAACGAAAGTAAAAATTACTTTCAGAAATTATTCCATTTATTTTTCTATTTAATAGAAATTTTCATATGCTCAATGTTTTAGCTGAATATTCCCTTGAAGCCAACTCTGGAAAATCCAAATTACGGTCCAGATTGGTTCTTAACCGAATGTTCGTTAAAGAAATACAGATCTGGAAATTATAATCACGGATCCCATATGTTAGGCTATACCAAAGACGAAGCTATGTTTTTCGTAGATAGTGAGCATTCTTGCTATTTATTCTATTTACATTAACTTTATATTATTATTTTGAATTTTATAGCAATGGAAGATACTCTCGATTGTGTGAAATTTTCTTGGACATACGCTTTACAACTTGGAATTACAAAAATCGACATGCCAAATATAGAAGATGGTATAACGAATGTCACCTTACGTCAAATCATAAAGGTAAGTTAAATTAAAAAATAGGTACGATTTTGAATAAATTAACTCTGTTATAATACTTTCTAGACTGCTACGGAAGTTATATTTATATCTCCTATAGATTACAAGGAAAAATTAATGGCAAAATTCGACGATCCTATTTATTATTATCGATATGATTTCATTTATAACAAATCGCTACACAAAATCTTAAATGGCATTGATATGGATGGTAAGTTTTATTATATATCTAGTATGTATAGGGTATATATGTAGCTTGAGGTTTATGCATTAAGAATATTAGTCTGAATAAGATATTACCTTGGTGATATTTCCAAATTTAATAGGTGAAAGAGAGGCACACTAGCACCAATATCCTATAAGGAATTATGGTGAAATTCAAGTTTAAAAATACCCCTATCAATTACTACTTGAATATGAAAATGCAGCTATTCATTTAATAGATTATTATTTTTCTACTCCGTTCTATCATATCATGATAAGGTGAATACGTTCATACCAGATGTTCAAAGCGGCATTCATCAGCATCGATGAATCTACAGGTTCGATAACACTAAAAGCTATGTTGCATTCATTCTAACATTTCTTGAAACAGCCAGCAAAGATTTTTGCCAAGAGGTATACTCATTAACCACAGGTGTCTCGTAGACAATCATTTACATGATTTTAGAGAAGAAATAATCTGGTGTCGTAGAGTGACATACACTCTGTTTAATGGGTGTCCGTAATTCATTTTTCTACTGTTTTGACTAATAACCTTTAAATGCGGCATTTTCGGTATGTCCTCCTTATCTAATATTGGTGTATACCTCCATCTTTCATTATTCCTAAATATAATTTCATTATTCCGAAATATCACCACCAAATAACTCTACTGCGGGGCTACTATCAGTCTGTCTACTCCACATTTGTATGTTGCAATTGCCCACCTATGTCTCAATGGATCTAATCCTTTGAAAGTTGACACCACATGGACTAATTAATTACTATATTAAACAGTAGTAATTAGCAATATGAGAATCATAAATAAAAATGTCTTTTCTCTAAAAGAACAAGTTTATACGCGCATATATAAAGATCAAAACGACAAGTTAACTTTGAAAGATGTTTGCAACGATTTGAGGGTTGTTCTAGCTCGATTCAAGGTTATATATAGAACGACTGTATTTTATTGATCGAGTAACTGATAATTAGTAACATCATGGTTATAAAGCTCTCTAGAAAGGATGACAGTTACTTAAATTAGTATTAGTTACCTAGATACTATAAAAGATAAAATATCAAAAGTGTTTTACATGGATCATCATAAATTTATTATTAAGTATTTTCAATTTTCTAAAGTTTAGAAGTACTATTGCATCCATTCGAAAATCTCTGGAAATCTTTAGGTGAGATCACAGTCAGTAAGAATTTTTCTCCTGAGGTAATGTTCATTAAATATAGATGCTTCGTAGACAATAGTTTTTACATTATCATATTGAAAAAATCGTTTTACATGTAAAATTGATGAAAAATAATATTGGATACTGGAATATTTTTAAATATTAATATCTGTACCGAGCCCGTTCCACAATAACAGTACCATAAGAAATCTTTAGTTGATTTTGTGGCAATAAATAAGAGAAATTTGTAACTTTTACTTATTCAATCTTTTTATTTTATTTTTTTTTATTAATCATAATAATTAATTGTTATAGGTGCTGCACATGGTGACGATTTGGAAATGATATTTTATTCAGATTCATACCAAGTAAATCCCAATGCAAAGAACAGGATGACGCTGTTACAAAAAAGGATGACACGTTTGTGGACGAATTTTATTAAATACGGGTTAGTATTCAAAATGGATTGTCTAGTAGTAAGCAATGTCGTAAGTGGAAAACTTCGATTAATATTCACTTGTTTACTAGAAATCCAACTCCAAATGGTACCAACGATACTTTACTAAACGTTGTTTGGCCAAATTCGAAAGAATCTGGTAAAATGTTGTGGTTAAACGATGATTTGGAAATACATGAACGATACAAGAGTCAAGACATCACTATGATTGAAAATGGGTTACAATTAAACGGTGGACCAAGAGACGGATGTAATACCAAATGGAAAAAATAACATACAAGATCAATTATTATTCATTCCGTGTTAAATAATTTCTTAAATAATTATCTTAATACAAATGTAATTTCCATATTGTAACTTTATAAGTGAATTAAAATTATTAAATGATTTAGCTGTCAACTTAAAATTTTTTCAATTACATTTGCGTACGTTTATTTCTTTATTTTATTATTTTTTTGTTTTTTTCTATAAATACGTAAACTAAGAATATGCTTAAATTAAAAGTTAAATCGATTTTTTAAAAATATTTATCTTAAAATCTCAACATAATTGAACCGTTGTCAATAACCCATAACTCTTTAAAATTCAAGACACCCATTCATCCAATATCTCTGGAAATGACATAAGGAATTCATATGATCTACATTATCACTCTTTATAAAACTGTATTCCGTTAAATCATTCTAATAAATTCCTCTAATCTTGCTTCAATCGGTTCTAACTTTATATAATAGACTTCTGATATTTAGTTTTGAACCAATCAGAATAGCATTTTTATACAATATTAAGAATAATTGAGCGTGAGAAGGTAGAGAGGGAAAGTGAGAAGAAATAGAAGTAGAGAAACGAGATAGAGATAGAGAGAGAGAGAGAGAGAGAGAGAGAGAGAGAGAGAGAGAGAAAAGGAGATAAGGAGAGAAAAAGAGAGAAATGGAAAGGAAATCTTTTATTTTTAACAAGTTTTTTATGTGATGAGCTAGATGCCTCCGAGGAAGGGGAAATAAGAAAGTTTGCAGTCAGTAAAAGTTAATGAAAAAAGGCATTCAGTATTTGTCATTCTATAAATCCAGTCACTAATTACTTAATAACTATGCGATAAATTATTAAGTCTCTATTCTGGATTCGTTGAAACCAATAATTAATTAATAAATCTTTAATATAGATTCGTTAAAAAAGATAATTAATTAATAAATCTGTATTTTGCATTCGATGAAACCGAAGTGTTAGTTAACGTATCTGTGTTATACAATTTTCTGTTTTTATTAGTAAATTAACAAGACTATATCTAATAGTTAATAAATTCGTAATAAGTTGAACGATTTATATTCTTTCATAACTTTATTGAACGTTATTCGGCCATAATTAAGAAGAAAATCCGTTCTTAAATAATTACATCGTCCGAATAAAAGGTAAGAAACTTGAAATCATTAATTTTAATACTTTGTTCTCTGATTCGTTCGTTTTTCAGCCTATTTTATTATTATTATCAGGCTACTTACTATTTTATCGGTAAGATAAAAACCGATAAAAAAGTATGTTATAAGTATATATATATAAGTATGTTAAACCGATAAAATAGTAAGTATGTTATGTCGCTCAGGTCAGCATTCATCATCGTTAGTTTCTTAAGATCAATATCTGGCGAAGTTTTCAAGGTCAGACTGAAAAAAAATGATAATTTACAATTTCGTAACGAAATGTAACACGTCTATCGATTCCAAAGATCCAATTAAATAAACATACATTTAAATTGTGAATGATTATTTCGCGTTCGGTATCTATGTATCGTATATGAAAATATAGAAGTTATACAGCAATAATATATTTTCTGACATTTTGATTAATTTTCTATAAGAACGATATTTAATCTGTAGAATCGAATGTGCAAGAAAATTCCTTTGATATATAATCTCTATAGCTTGCTAGAGAATTGTCCATTTAAATTGTGGACTATGAGAATATCATTTTGATTTAAATAAACGAAGAATTAATAAGAAGGATAAGCTAATCTTAAAACAAAATTTATTAAAATAAATGGAGAATTAACAAAACGGTAATTGTATTTCATCCATACACATTATGTTTATTATTATGTTGCGACAGTCCTTAGTTAATATTAGATTGGAAATTATGAAATGGGCATTGAATGAAAATAATAAACGAAAAGCGCAATTTTTCACATTATTTATTATATTCAATTGAAATAATTTCCATTGGCATCTACGACTTTTTGCCAACGATTGGGCAAATCATATATCCCTTTTTGAAAAAAATCTTTATTTTTAAAGTTAATAAATAATTCATAGTCTTTTATAATATCATTTTGGTTATTGTATTTTTTTTCTCTTAAAAATAATTCATAATTACGAAAAAGGTAATAATCGGTCGGTGAAATATCGAGTGAATATGGAGGAGGTAGTAAAATTTCATATTGTAGAGAAATTAATTTATCAACAATAATTGAAGCTTTATGTGATCGTGTGTTATATTATTTATTATGTTATGTTATATTATGTGATCATGCAGTAATATTGCGCCGTGTCGATTAAGCAATGCTAGTTGTTTTTTCATAAGTTTCTCATGCATAACACCAATTTCACGACAATAAGACATCGCTGTTATAGTTTCACCTGATTGTAGTAAGGAATAATAGATCACTCCTTGGGTATTCCACCATATGGCGACCATAATTTTTTTTGATGAAATTTCGATTTCGGGGTGTGTCCTGGGGGTGTATTCTTATCTACCCATTGGCTTGATCGTTTCCGATTATCATACAAAATCCACTTTTCATCACAAGTGATGATTTGGTGTAAAAATGACAATCGTGTATTGCGTAGCAACAAAGATGCGCACTTGCTTTTACGGTCGATCATCTGCAGTTGCGTCAATTCGTGCAGCACTTATGAGTCCAATTTCTTGACTTTATTTATTTCAGGCAAATGTTTTAACACAGCTGTATGACTAGTTCCTAGTTTAGACCCAAGTGTTCGACTAGTTGTGTGTGGATCGGATTTCACAGTCTTCCTTAATTCCTCGTTATCAATATGGGCCGGTGGTCTTCCTCGAGGCTCATTGACGATACTCAAATTGCCAGAACGAAATTTTTGGAACCAATATCGAGCATTTTTTCATTGGTGGATCCATCTCCGAATGCCTGATTAATATTTCTTGAAGCTTGAGCTGCGGTATGATTTAATTTAAACTCGTACAAGAAGAGTAGATGTAAATCGCATTTTGTTTCCATCTGGTTTAGGATAAAAATAAAATAAAAATGGGATACAAACACGAAAAAATTTTACAAAATAAGTAAAAAGAATACCTTTAAGCTTTATAAATTAAAATATCGAGCACACGTTACAATGTATCTCTCTCGATCGTAGCTGAACACAGACTAAACAAAAAACGCCCGTTTCATAGTTTCCAACCTAATATATGCCGCCTTGAAATTATATATTATCAACAGGTTTCAATATATGAAACAATTTTACCAGATGGCCAGTTACATATCAATATTTATGAGGTAAGATATTTAAACGTTTAACTGGTGAAGAGCGCTATCGCGCTTTTCTTATGTTGTGCCAAAAATGCGAAAAAATACGTCAGCAGCCAAACAGATAATGATAATACGCAGATGGAAATATTTTCCTGTTATGATATCTATACCCCACCAGTTTCACTTCAGCATTTTTTGAAACACTCATATATGTTAACCAACGATATAATTATTAGTTATCCTCTTAAACTGAGCTAATAATGACGACGTACAGTATATTCTTACTATATGTTTTTCTCTTATTTAATTGGTCCTTGGCAGATGAGTTCTCACCAGTGATACAAACTACCAAAGGACCAGTGAAGGGCCTCGTTTTAACGACCATCAGAGAATCTAAGAAATATCATTCTTACAGAGGTATCCCTTATGGCAAACCACCAATTGGACATCTTCGATTTAGAGTAAGTATATCGTAATTAAGGGAAAAAGGGAGAGAGAGAGAGAGAGAGAGAAAAAGATTCGACATGAATTCGTCCAAAACGATTGAGAATTTCCTCTAGCCACCTGTCGAGATAGATCCATGGACCAAAGAGTTCGATGCTACAAAGGATGGTCCTATTTGTCCACAAATGAATGATAACAAATTCATCGGCCAAGAGGATTGTCTGAATCTCAATGTCTATACACCGCAGGTGATTTTTCATCTTTTTATTATTCAATATGTTAACTATAGAAACGATATATTTATCTAATATCTTTCATAAAGATATATTTTTATAAATAAGGGATACATACAAATTTATTTTCATAAGTTTTTATCGGTTTATTCAATCGCGTTAAATTAACACCTTGAAACATTTTATCATCCTTATTATTTCTCAACATTCTGAATAAAAAAGAAAAAATAATGGAAAGAACGTCACGTGCTATTAATTCGATTACCAAACAATAGAAAGCCAATTTTTATAGATTTCTCGTGCTAGCCAACGGTTATGCACTTTCACTACAAACTTTACCCATGCGTTCGTTCATTATGTAAAAGTAGTACATTATATTCCATATTTATAATATTTTAACATGTAGGAATTTTACAATTTCGCAATAATATTATTTTACTTAATAAATATTATTTTCCAATATTTCCCTGTAGGTCCCAAAAGATGGAGAAGATATTAAACTCAAAGCTGTTATGTATTGGATTCATGGGGGTTCCTTTATTTCTGGAGTAGCTTCGAAATTCTATTATTCTCCTGATTATCTGATCGAAGAAGACATCGTAGTCGTTACTGTTAATTACCGGTTGGGCGCTCTTGGTATGATAATTAATTTATCCAGTAACTGAAAAATAGATAGATAAAATTAATGTATAAAATTTAAATACAAATTTGTTTTTTAACCATTCAAACATACGATATGGTGACAAAAAATATACGAGTCATTATATTGATTCACTCATTCATTAGATAAGAACAACCTATAAGCAAGGCATTCGGCAAACGCTCAACTAATTTAACAATAGTTACGATTGAGAATTATTGATTGAAAACAAATAAGCTAATCAAGGAAAAATTTGGTATTACTTTATCAATATTACAAATAATTTTATCTAATTATTAATACCTTTTTAAAAGAAATAACGATGAAATAAGTAATAAAACAAAAAAATCGAATTAACAAATCAATTTTAATAATATTCCGCACAGGATTTTTAGCGTTGCAACATCAAAATGCAACTGGCAACGCAGGCTTAAAAGATCAGAATCTTGGTCTGAGATGGGTTCGCGACAACATAGCAAAATTTGGTGGTGATCCAAACAAGGTGACGATAGTTGGTGAAAGTGCTGGTAGTATTAGTATAGGTTTTCATATACTTTCAGAAAAATCGAAAGGTACTCAATGATTTCCTTTATGCTTAAAATCAAAATTTATTTAACACTCATCTTATCTTTAATTTTATTCTATTGACAGGTCTGTTTCGTAGTTCAATCGGGATGAGTGGGGTACCATTATGTGCTTGGGGATTCAGTATACCAAAAGATGCAACAGAAAGAGCTTACACATTCGCTAAGAAATTTGGTTCCACAGCTACGAACGTTGACGAGTTACTTGAATTTTATTATAAAGTCGATGTAGAAAATTTGACTAGAACGATTTCAAATGCAACCCTGGTAGGAATTCCTTTTTGAAATGATTCCATTATAACGAATAAAAATATTCATAAGCTCATGATTCTAGGTGGATCCTCCGTTAAAGCCAACTCTAGAGAATCCAAATTATGGTCCAGATTGGTTCATTACTGAATGTTCTTTAAAGAAATATAAATCTGGAAATTATAGTCACGGACCTATAATGTTAGGCTACAACAAAGACGAAGTTCTTGAGTTTGTAGGATGTTAGTAATTTCGACATTAATCCTATATAGATTTTCACTTTTCATTTTCTTTATATTATTATTTTAAATTTTACAGCATTAGAAGATATTCGCAAATGTCTTAATATTTCTTCAAAAATCGCTTCCGATTTTGATATTAAAAACATCGATGTGTTCAATATAAACGAAGACATAGCGAATGTTAGCATACATGAAATCATAAAGGTTAGTCAGATTAAATAATAAATAGAATTTTTGTAAATTAATTTATTTATAATACTTTCTAGGTTACTTCGGAAATGTTGTTTATGGCTCCTATAGATTACACGCAGAAGTTAATGGCAAAATTCAATGATCCTATTTATTACTATCGATATGATTTCGCGTATAACAAATCCTTACACAAAATCCTAGATCACATTGATATAAACGGTAAGTTTTGTTATATATCTAGTATATACAGTATGTTCTTTTTGACTTGAGATTTTAAAAGTGTTTACATTAGACATTAAAGGTTTAATATATTAAAATTATATATATTAATCTGAAAATTACGTAGACTTTTTAATCGCTATATGGAACTATTTAATTAGCCAATATGTGTATCAAAAATAAAAATATCTTATTTCTGAGAGAAAAAGCTTTATGAAGCGCGTACGAAGATCAATAAAAACAACTTTAATAACTTTCGAAAATATTTGCTACGATTTGTAAACATTGGCAAAATTGATGATTATTAATAACAACTTCGAACTAACCCTCAAGACGATCCAAGAGGGATGAGTCGTCGTAGGTACTTCGAAAGAATCAATGATGACTCTCTCAAAGAATCATAACGTTAATATAAAATATCTAGGATTTTTCGAAGATCGTTTTATATGTATAATTTACAACAAATAATATTTCAAGAAATTGTTAAAAATTTATAAGTTATGTCGAATCTATTCGATCAATAGATATATTACTGGTAGGTATAGTTAAATAAGAAATCGATTAGCTTATACTATGACGACGAATGAAGAAAAAATCTCTAACGCTTATTTATCCACATTTTAATTTTATTTAAATTTTGTTTTTGATTTGATTTGATTTTATTTATTTATTTATTTATTTTTTTATTAATCGTAATAATTGATTGTTTTAGGTGCCGCACACGCCGATGAAATTGAAATGATATTTTATTCAGATTTATTCCAAGTAAATCCCAAGGCAAAGAACAGGATGACATTACTACAACAAAGGATGACTCGTTTGTGGACAAATTTTGTTAAATACGGGTTAGCATCCAAAATGGATCTTCTATTAATAATCAATATTGTAAACTTTCGATTAATATTTACTTATTTACAGAAATCCAACTCCAGATGGTACCAACGATACTTTACTAAACATTGTTTGGCCAGATTCGAGAAAATCTGGTAAAATGTTGTGGTTAAACGATGATTTGAAAATACATAATCGATACAAGACTATGATTATTGATGTAACTGAATTAGGCTTGAAATTATTCGGCGATGATTTAAACGGATGTGATATAAACTGGAATGTAATATAAATAACATACAACTTTTAATTTCAAATTAATTTTTGTCCTAAATGAGGAATTTTTAAACCGTTAATCTCATTCACGTTGTAATTTCAATATAATATATTTAATATTGTAATGTTTTATTATTAAATCATCCTACAGACGATTACTTCTGATGTTGATTTTATGACATTCAGCTAAATAAAAGAAGAAATATTAAAAATCCTGTATGATGAATTCCCGTTAGAAATTTAGTTAAAAAACAAAGATAAAATGAAAAAAAAGGAATTATATACCAATAATATGTTTGACGACGAATTTGGTACTAATTAATTTAATTTCGATTAATTTCCTATGCATTTAATACATCGACTGTGAAATCGAATGAGTATAATTCGTTTTATAACTTGCTATGAAATAGTTTAATCACCATCAACGATGATTCATTCTATTCTAAAATCCACGTTTCTGAGATAATTTATTAATCGAAATTTCGAATAATAAAACGATGTCCACGGTAGGACATTTAATCGCGGGACTCACGAACACTTTACTTTAAAATCGACGTTTTCAAAATTAATACGAGCTAATCAAATAATTCTGACTTCCAATGCTATGTAGAGGATGGTCAGTTCCTCCTTACAGATAACAGAACCATCGTAATATTGACATTTACATTTCTAACACAACCGATCTTCTCTATGAAATTTTGAGTGATTAAACAAACTCCATAGTAAGACTTTTAATTAATCGTGGCCACGATCATTCACGCCATTTTTCGTCGATCCAAACGCGAGTATTCTCTCTATCTTATCTATTCAAACATGATCTTCTTGCTTATTCTTTATTAGAACTTTATTAATATCGATTCTTTATTATTTTCACGAGAGAAAAATATTTTAAAATCCATTAAAATAATCAAATAATTATAAACAAGAAAATTCTATGTTGATCTAATGAATAAATCAAAATATAAGAAACCATTAACGAGTAAATCTCCGAAAAAAATTTATTCGTTGTTACTCAATGCTCTTTTACTAATTAATTACAATCAATCACTCGTGTCGATTCAGACTTTTCGTCCTCGACATGATTGAGTGATCGGAGAGATTTAAAAATTTACTTACTAAAAACACTCCAAAACACTCATCTGGGATTTAAGTCGAAATTGAAGGTGGGGATAATTCGTAGGTGGATGAAAATGAAGTAGATCGACATCGAGATTGATTGAAATCCTCTTCAATGATGCACTGACTCTAATACGCGATAATTATTTATTAATGGATGATCACTGAAGTTAATTCGCGTAACACTATTGTCTTTTATAAATACAGTCTGTGCGACTGTTAAAAATATAGAAAAAGAAAATCCTTTTCGAAAAAACATTTTAATGATTGCATTTCACGTAGTCGATGTAAATCTACTTTTTGTTTTAACAGCGAACCGAACAAATAAAGCTACTACTTCGCGATATTTTTATCTTTATTTTAACGATACAAATACTCCATAATTTCATTATTATGCCCACGATAGCAATGAAGTTTTGAAACAGAAAAATAAGGGAAAAAAATTATTATACTATAATAAGAAAATGTTGAAAATATTTAAAATGTATGATATAAAAAATATACTCATCTCAAGTCTCAGTTGTTGTCAGGCATTCTGTACCAAGATGATGAAGGACTTCGACGAAAATAAGAAACTACAAATCAATTTCTTATTTCAATCGACATTTCCATTTTGTGACGAACAACAGTGACTCTTTTTCGCGATTATTTGTACTTTAATTTCTCCTATTCAACACTCAATTCTTCCTTGGTCTCGTGCACCATTGCGACGTTTTCTGAAAACAGAAAAAATAGAAATAAAATAATTACTATCATCGTCGTAAGAAAAATTTATGAAATTCGATGAAATTAAAGAATTTCGATGTACATACGTCGGAATCCAAACGAAAACTAATTCAATAACAGGCAAAGTTGAGCTGAACGTTCGCTATTGTTGATAATAAACATAACCAATAACAACAAGGTCAAAATATTTAAATATTGGAATTTTAAATTAGATTCTTCTATATTTATCTCGTATTATGAGTTTTGTAATGTTTAAACGAATGCACACTGTTACTTCTTCTACTAATTAATTAGTAGTAGAATAAACAGTATGCATTAGTTAAAATCAATCATTTAATTAAAATACTGTTTAAATATTAGTTTATTGTACTCCGTGTACGTTATATACCATTTAAATAATTTTAAAACTTATTTCTAAGATCCATTAAAATGAACGCCTGTACACGTATTTGTTTATTTTTATATGGTTTTATTTTAAAGAATCATTAATCGAATACTCATTAAAATGCCTGAATAAGTTACTATGACTTTTCCGTGTGAACATGAGGAAACGCGTTTTCTTTTTGAATTGATTAAAAAAATATAAACATCTGTTTAACCTATGCTATTCAAGGAAGCAATCGTCTACTTCACGAAAACAAACCGCACACCAATTTAGAGTTTATATAAAAATCAGTAGTAGCTTCTTCTCTTTTGTCGCAAAGTTCGAGGAGCGCTACTATATGGAAGTTTTTCTTTCAAAAAAAAAAAAAAGAAATGTCGATAACGTTTTTGCTAATAAAGAATCAAGGCATAATTCTTGAAAATTTTTCATGAACATGGTCTCTTTTTAAAGATGAATTTACTTTTATTCATAGATTATTGCCAAAGAAACATCCTTTTGACACGATTTTTTTCCAAAGAAAATAAAGCTTCCTCAAAAGTTCGAAAAAAGCAATGTCCTTGTTTGAATTTTCATCTTTAAAATGACACCTTGTTCATCAAAATTTTTTAAGAATTATACCAATTCTCATCGTTGACGTAAACCATTATAAAACCAGTAGTAATGAACAGTCTTAATTTTTATATCAATGTAAATTGAGATAAAACGTATTTATCAAAGACAAACAAACACCATCTGCAAGGTGAGCATTTCCAGTCTCTTCTTAACTAAAGCAAATTGAAATAATTAAGTTTCTTACATAATTTGTAGAATATGATATTGAAAAAAAAATCATATAGATACGTACGAGTGTGTGTGTGCATATATTTAATTAAGTTAAATTAAGTTTTACATAAGTTTAATTAAGTTAATATATATATATATATATATATATATATATATATATTAACTTAATGTCGATTTAATCTACAAATAATTATTAGGAATATTTCCTAAAACATTAAATCGTTTAATTACATTGTCGGATTCATGTAAATTTTTTCATTTCTTTTTTTTTTTTGATACGCAAAAGTCGATGTCAATCATTTTTCAAGCGCGGAGTTTGATACGAAAAATTCTGGAATACAGTGATTAATTCGATTCTTAAATTCAATAATTATCGTCCTAAAATAGTTTGCAGACGATGTTCGTTTTCTATTCAACTAGCATGGAACCCTTATTTTAAAACCTTTTAAACCTTATTTTATTAATATTCACCAAAGTCATTCGAGAAGATACGACATTAATTAAGAATTCTGAACGAACCTATCTGGCATACCTTGATATTTTCATAAAAAAAAAAAAATCAATCTTATCTTTAGCTTGACGTATATTCACTGTTATAATTCTTTCCATATTATTCTTATGATATAAATTAAAAGAGGAAAAAAATATAATAATTTTCATAATACGATGAACGCCTGTGAGATGTTACATTTCATTAATAATTTCACCATAATGAAGAGTTTAAAAAAAGAGGGAGAATGGTTTGGGGGTGAAAGGGAAGTAATCGGAGTTAGTTGGAGAACAAATCCAATTTAATTATCTTAGAGAAATTCTTTTTAGAAATTAAGATTAATCTAATAAAAAAAAAAAAGAAGAAATTAATCAAATAAAAAAAAAAGATGTCCAAATGTTCATTACGTTTATATGCCAGAATAAATAATTTATATAATACGATGTAAGTATCGGATGTTAAACTTTGCGAGCAACTTCGTCATAACAAAACGTTTATAAAAGAAAGAAAGAGAGAGAGAGAGAGAGAAAGAGAGAGAGAGAGAGAGAGAAAGAGAGAGGGAAAGAGAGAGAGAGAGAGAGATAGAGAGAAAAAGAAATAAAAGAACAAAATTAAACTGGAGATTAAAGGTAATCGTTTTAATTTATAACAAATCATGAACTAATTAACAAAATTATATTTTTTGAATATCTTATTAGACGTAGGCGATTGTTAAAAAAGAAAAAAAAAAGAAAAAAAAAAAGAAAAAAAAACGATTGACCATAAAAATAGGACCCTAAATAGTAATCATTCAACGAATCTTACCGAACGTAGTTAACGAGTGAACGTTCGGTATATACGACGAAGAAAGACCTTCGCCATTCTACATTACGCGAGTCAAACATAGTGAGTCCAATATAGTAATCGAGTAACTCGCGATCGGTCAACAACACTTTCCTTCCACTAAACACTACGCGAGGCCTTTCACATTGGAAATATTATTCTAGAATTATTCATATATACATATATATATATATATATATATATATATATATATATATACATATATACATATGTATACATATATATATACATATATATATAACGTATTTTATAAAAAGCATTTCAGCAATGTTCGAATTCATAAATCTTTTTTAAAGATACTTCGACCTCCTTATCTTCCTTATTCTTCTATATCGACAACAACAACGACGACGACGACGACGATATTTCTTCGAAAAAAATAACACCAAAGGTTTGTTCTTCCAATTAATTTCCTCGTTCGAAATATTTCATTCACTTTTTTCTTTTTTTCTTCTTTTCTTTTTTTTTTTCTTTTGCATTTCTTTTCTTTTCTTTTCTTTTCTTATATGTCTATTACTTTCTTATTATATTTTCTTATATGTCTATTACGAAGACAACTCTTCGATATCGAAAAAATGTAAAAGTAATAATATGTAAATCTATGTGTGTACATAAATATGCATATATGTATATATTTATGTATATATATATGTATGTATGTATATATGTATGTATGTATATATGTATGTATATATGAGCGATAAAATCAAAACATTTTATTTTACGAGAAGAATATAAGTAAAAATATTCTATCAATAATTTATATCAGTACATTCGATTGT